ATACTTCAAATAGAGTGACGTATATGTATCGTATCCGTATCGAATACCGATACTCCTTGGATACTCGCGGATACGTATCAGATACTTATTAAAAGTATCAGATACTTATTAAAAGTATCGGATACTTCTTAATTATTTTTTTATCAATTTTGGAGTATCGGATACTTAATTTTGAAGTATCAGATGCTCCAAGTCATGTTTACTTGTTTTATGAAATTAGAATTGTAGCATTTCTTGCATAGTAATATAATATAATATAATTGCAAGTATAAATATAAGAATATTTTTCTAATACTTCATTAAGTTCTTCGATAAGAAGAGCATAGTGAGTTAAATAATAGAATTTATCAAATTGATGTATCCTAATTATCTCATGTATATCTCCTACAACTACATAGAAAGTAAGAATTAACAAAAGAATATAACAATGGTAAAATTAAATATCAATAAATAAATAAGCAAGTAAACTTAAATACAATATTTTCAACTAGTGTCAAAAGAAAAAGTGTAGGGACAAATTATGAATTGTTCTATTATTATAATATAAATATATTAAACTTGATATTGAAATGAAATATTTGCAAGACCTATTAAAAATGGAAAATTTAGCTATAAACCCCCTTTACCTTCCTTTCATTGTTAAAAGGACTAAGAAAAAAATTATACTTTCTAAACCCCTTTATAATTATAAAGTCTTGCATAAATGACAAAATTTATTATTTAAATATTTTATATGACTATTATACCCTCAACTAATTCAACTATTATAAAGTCTGCATATATAATCAGCTTCATCATAAACTGTATCATAATCACCATAGTCGCGTCTTCCAAGCTCCAGCAAAAGATCGTCGACAAGCCGTCGTCGGCAGTGGCTTAGTCCTCTCTTCATCTTCATAATCAGCAACGTCATCGTCATCGTCATCACTCTCCTAGCCAAGTCCGGTCAGTTATCAGGCGAAACTCCAGCGATCAACAATGCCGAAACTGATCTCTACGATGAACTCATCAAGAACATCGGGAACAAAATCAACTACGGGCCGAAAAATTGTCCTCCGGTACTAGAATCGAAGGAGATCGTCTACAAGAAGAAACAGATTGTCTCTGAATTGATCGTTGTTACTCCGAAGAGCAATGAATTGATCGCTGAAACACAAATTTGAAAGCTCCAGTTCCTGCCTCTCTCCCTTCTAGGAGGCGACAAAGGCATGTTTGGTGGAGTTGTTTGGTTATACATATTTTTTTAAACACAGATTTGAGTTTTGAATATATATATATATATATATATTTGTGTGTATGAGTGTTGTTGAACACATGTATTCTTTTCATTAAGATTTGTGATTGTTGATCGAGTTTTAGAAGTTTTTCTTCTCAATTAGATATGTTGATTTGTTGATTAATTTGTTTTGTTTTTGTTTGTTTTTTTTTTTTTGGATTTATTTTTTTTGTTTTTGATCTAATTTCATTTGACAAAACCAGAGTAAAATTTTACTTTGGCTCTATTGCTCTGTTTTTTTCATTTGACAGAACCAAAGTAAAATTTTACTCTAGTTCTATTGCTCTGTTTTTTTCATTTGACAGAACCCGAGTAAAATTTTACTTTTATACAGAGTAAAATTTTACTTTTGTATAGAGTCTAACAGTTTACTAGTTTTTCAGAGTAAAATTTTACTTTTATATAGAGTAAAATTTTACTTTTAGCTTCAGAGTCTCACAGTTTACTCGTTTTTCAGAATAAAATTTTGCTTTTATAAAGAGTAAAATTTTACTTTTGTGTAGAGTCTAACATTTTACTAGTTTTTCAAAGTAAAATTTTACTTTTATATAGAGTAAAATTTTACTTTTAGCTTCAGAGTCTCACAGTTTTCTCGTTTTAGAGTAAAATTTTACTTTTGTGTAGAGTCTAACATTTTACTAGTTTTTCAGAGTGAAATTTTACTTTTATACAAAGTAAAATTTTACTTTTAGTTTCAGAGTGTAACATTTTACTCTTATTCAGAGTAAAATTTTACTTTTATACAGAGTAAAATTTTACTCTAAAATACACAGTGAAGATGGCTTAATAGGAGAACTGACAGATATGAGGGTAATATAGTAAAAGAAACAAGTTTTAAAATATTAGGAGGTTTTGAAAGTACTTATATAATTCTTGTCCTTTTGAAAGACAAATTAGATAGTGAGGGGGCTATCACCAAATCCCCCATTAAAAATTTAAAAAGTAAACAAGCTACTAACTTAAATTAATACAAAATTCTTAAAAGTTAGTATTTTGCATTATAAAATTACATTGTGATTTCTCAACGTTCTTTAGCTTATGTGTAACTCACTATTAATAATTTTAAAAAATATATTTTTCACAAACGTATCCTAACCGTACCGATATCCTATTATTTTAGGTTTTGTCGTATCGCCGTATCCGTATCGTGTTGTATCCATATCTATGCTTCCTAGATTGTAGATGTCACATTCTCACCTCTGTGCTATTCTTTGTTTCTTTCTAAAGGAAAAAAAGAAACCAGAATATGCTTCCTAGCTAGAATGTTAATAAATTGTATTCTTGAGAAACTCCATCCTAGTGCCATGGGCAATTTACTCTGTAATCTGAAATAGACATGTATGTTTGGCTTATTCTTTTTTTTCTTAGTTTGGTTCCAAATGCATACTTCTTGATACAATGTGCATCTAGTATAAAATCAAATATCTAATAGAAAATCCACAGCCACATGAACATTGAACAAATATCTAATATAAAATTAAAACAAAATCTAATAAAAGGAATTTTTTTAATTTTTTTTTCTTATTCATCATCCTTACAATAGAAAAAAAAATAGAGAGAAAAATAATTGCAAGATCTCACTGAGACGTTTAAACAAACACTAGCATGTCATTATACAAAATCACAACATAAATACAATAAAGTAAATCACAATTAACCCTTGATATTAAAAGATGAAAATTAATACATTCATGGGTTAAAAGATTAGATTTTCATATTGTATCAAGTTTTATACGAAGATCATAAATGAGAGAGAAAAATAGAGGTATTCTGTGTGTGAGAATGAGAAAGAGAGAAAGAATACCTAATAAACTCAGTAGATTGTAGAAGATGAAAAAACTACAAATTTGTGATGTAGATGTTAGATAAGAGTGACGTGAAAGATGCATAATGAAAAACCCTTGCTTCATTATTTTGCTCCCACCTCTTTATCCCGCCAAAACTGATTTTGCTTCACCAATTTCAGATTTGTTCGACTTGTGGATTGGGTTATCGAACTCAAATTTGTTGGATTCGTGTATTGGATTGCTTCACCAAAATCAATTTTGTCCCACAGCTACTCTAATTCATTTGGTGTAGTTTAGTGATTTTTTCCCTTTGCTTTCCTGTAAGTCTTAGTTCCCCTATTTTTATCAAATATATATACATATATATATACTAGCGGCCGGGCACACGCGATGCGTGTGCAAACTCGTTTAAAATTATAATATGATTTTGATATTATTTTTTCTAATAATATACATATAAACCATATGAATAATTATGTGCAATGTAACATTTGATATTAACGTATTTGATAAATAAAACATATGCACATTACAATATGTACACGTGTTTTAAAAATTGAAATATTTATTAATCTTAACTAAAAAAACTATACAATAAAAATTCATATAAAATCTAAATTTGATAACATAAGACCGGAGATCCTGCAAATCCTGCAAATATATATATATATAAGATATATTTATCATAAGATTGCTAATAGTATACATTAATTAAAATTATATTTTACGTTATGAGGCATAATTATACATAAGTTTGGTTTTATAATTGGCTTATTATGTATAAAGGCACAAAAGGTAATTATTGTGTTAATTTTTTGTAAACAAAATCTAAAAATTAAAAACTTACATATCGACATAGATTGACATCGTTCATATCAAATGTCACGTTCAATGATCTCTTCAAATTGTTTTGATGCAATTTTTGCCATAGATCTATGACAACATTAAACTACAAAAAATAAGATGGAATTGACCGAAAATGAAGTACGTAACTTTAGTTATACATACAAACCTATAAGTAGATTACCTTGTAACAATGTTGCACATTTATTTGTAAGCTTTCAATTTTTGTATCATTCGTTGCCTATAAAATTGAGGAAAAATATCTCACTTCCTTGTAAGTTGATTGTTTGACAAATTTATAAAATCTAAAATTAATTTGTAAATTCACAAATATGAATATATGGAGCGTAGTAGTAAAGTTCATAAGACTTGATCTTTACCACATACATGTCCATATTGTCTTTGCTGCATATACTTGCTCTATCAGATATGATAGGATTTCTATAAAAAGATTACAATAACTATTAGCAAATGTAACATATTGAAATTATTCATATAAAATGCCACAAACACATTATCATACCGATGTTGTCGTTGCCTCAAAAGCTCTCGCACAATTAATTTTCCCAATTGTTTTTTATCAACTTTAATAAAGACCTTTCATCCAAGACTGTATATGGAGAACTGTTTGACCTACATTAATTTAAAAGCTATTGTCAAACTCAAAATATATGCGAATATTGTCAGATTAAATAGCAAAAATTTTAGAAACGTTATTTTTTGAACATAAGTGAAGCCAATGCCTAATTTTTAACTTTCTTATATGCAACCATATTTGCTTCCTCTTGATAATTCTCCCAAAGCTGAAGTAGCTTTATTTTTTCAAGTATTCCTATAATCAATAATTATATGAAGATATATTATAAGTATATTAATTGTAGATTTTAAGAAATGACATAATATAAGTTGAATAAGAACATATTTAGTATATACCTCATGTATCAATAATTTGGTAACAAAACGTCTTTGTAGACTACATTGCTGGTGTACACTCCTTCTTCATTATTAACTGAACCCTTTTTAACCATGACTTTCGTTGTTTGATCTGACATCCCTCGAGATAAAGCAACATATAGTTGTCCATGACTAAATACCTAATCCGGAAGGTAAATTCCCACATGTGCAATTGTTTGACCTTGTGATTTATTTATTGTCAAAGCAAAACTAAGGCGAACTGGAAATTGTGTGCGAGCCATTTCAAATGGAAGTTTTAAGTTTTCCGGAGCCTTTAATGGAATGCGATGTAGGAAAACTCTCATGCCTTTGAAATGTCTTGTTAAAATCTCTGAATCTATGAAATTATTGTTCAAAGCTCGACACAGTAGCCTTGTGCCATTACACAAACCAGAAGAAGGGTTAAGATTCCTCAAAAGCATAATTGGGGCTCCAACTTTCAAATGCAATGCATGTGGGGGCATTCCTCCTGGTGAAATAGAATTTAAAAACTCTTGTTGATACAAATTTTGGGTATCATTTTCAACTTTATCAAATGAGTGGTACACTCTTGATTCTCCTGGAAATCTCTGAATGATTTTCTCATTGAGCTTGTCGACATCTTCATTGCGAGGAGTTATTATGTCCGTACTAACCATATACTCGGCGTCAAAAGAATGGTTTATGATATCAGGATAAATTTCTTCTAATAGTTGAACTATTGATTCTTCACCATTCCATGGTATTGCCATCGATGTTGGTACTTTGATCATTTCATCTATAATGGTAGGTTATACACCATTTCCAATAAATAAAATAAATTCACCAAACTGTTGGTCATTTATAGAGCGCATGTTTTGCTTTAAACAAAGTATTTGAATGTGACTCCAAAGAGGTGATTTGACTATCGATGAAGCAATAGTTTCAGCTTTTGTACCTTTAGGAACAAGTGGAAGTACTTGTCGAAAATCACCACCAAACACCATAATTTTGCCACCAAATGGATAATCAACACCAATGATGTCTATGAGTGTTCGATTCAAGGCTTCAAAAGCATAACGATTTGTCATTGTAGCTTCATCCCAAATGATGACTACTGCACGTCTAATCAGTTCTGCCAAATCTGATTGTTTAGTAATGGAACACACGAACGAAACCTCTAGGTTTAAGGGGATCTTGAATCTTGAATGGGTTGTCCTTTCACCAGGTAAAAGTGCAGCTGCAATTCCAGAAGTTGCTGTTGCAATGGCAATTCTCCCTTGACTTCTCACTGAGGCCAATAGTGCACGATATAAATATGTCTTTCCAGTTCCTCTTGGGCCATCCACAAAGAAGATTGCACCAGTATTGCATTCCGCAGCCGTCATGATTGAATTGAATGCTCAGTGTTGATCACTATTTAATGTGGCAATAGAATTCCAGTCTTCTCGAGGAGTTACAATGGAAAACTCATCTTGTATGATCTTTGAAACTGTTGAATTATCATCCAAATTCATTGTCATCTCAAGTAAATCGTATTCTGATATGTTCTTATTATGCTATAGCAGGAGACGGTTTATATCTTGCAAAGTTTTGTTAAGGATATACATATTATTCATACTGTTTGAAGATATGTAATCTTCAATCAAGTAAGGATAAATTTCACCCCACAAACTTCGCACCCCTGTTGGCATACAATAAACCAAAATTGTAACGAACAATCTCCTTAAAGCTGATGGCATGTGCATGGTTACAGCTTCTAACAAGCATTGTTGTATGCTATCATCATGCTCTAACAAACCGTGATGTTCAGTTGCCTGTTTAAAAGTCGGGTACGCAATTCCATTTACCATTAACAAATGATCAAATGATTTTGGTCCTCGAATATGATTGAGTAAAATTCTTAAGTAAAATCTCTCCCCTTCTGATGGCAAAACTGTGTAAATTCTACCAATTACTCTTTGATGGTTCAATCTCGACTGCCAAATCTTTGCGCTATTGCACTATCTATAGTGTTGCGGTATCTCTCGATATAAGTATCAATTTGCAGTTTCATCATCAACATTTAATTGAAAGAATTGGGTAAGCATTGTTCTGGAATAATACTCATCGCCTAAAACATTTGTGATGTCTTGGAACGTATAAAACCTCACTTGCTGCTTATTTGGTAACTGTATTTGGAGGCGTTCTACGCTAGGAGTCATTTTGGTCATTGGGAATTTGAATATTTTCCACAATGCTTTTGGAGCACAAACCCATCGTCCATCTATGAACTGTTGTACTTCGTCATAATTAGGACCTTGACGAACTTCTAGTGCAACACGGTCAGACCCTTTATAAACATATTTGTATAAATACATCACACTTGTAAACACTACTACAAATTTCAAGATTGATATGACAATCATATTTCAAAAGCAACAATGGGTTGTATGGAATGACCCAACTATTATCCACCAAGACGCTTGGATTACTCTCTGAAGGAACTGACTCCCCTTCTCTTCTTCGATAAACAGGATATGAATCGTTTCCAAGTGTAGTAATTGAAGAAAATGGCTTTGGGAAACGTCTTTTGCACCGACCATTTGTCATACACGGGGACCGTTCATTGTACATTCCACATGGGCCATGTATCATGTGTTTCAGAACTCCATTGTATAATCTAGGCTCTAATCTCTTGTCTGGAATTTCAACTCTGAGAATGTTATCATAATAATCAAGAGTGCGTAACTTATCATTTTCATCCAAAATAATGACAATGTGGGCATGTGGTAAGCCTCTTTTTTGGTACTCAATAACATATGGGTATGCCAGAACCTTCCCGAGTACATGTTTTGTAAGAATGTCGATCTTCATCTCATCAAATTTTGAATGAAATATTCTTGTTAGCAAATCAGGACGATCATGTGGTGACTGTCCAGGTAGCAACTCAGCTTTAATTTCAGGCCAATTTGGATTGCAGGTCATCGTAAGGAAAAGATCAGGTTTTCCATACTTTTGGACCAAAGCCATTGCATCTTGATATCGCTGATACATGTCTCATGGGCTACCAACAAATGACGATGGCAATATTGTTCTACGACCAACATTACCTAAACAAATATTTAACAAAAGGAAAAAAGAAATTGTATGTATGAATGTAAACAAACATGCGTACATGTAATTGTAATATCGTACGTGACAATTTGTACCTCCATAATTTTCACCAACATGTACTGCATCTAGAAGACCTTGATAAAAATCTGCTCGAATGTGATTCTGATGAGTACGTATCCATCTTAATTTGTTGGACTCAATCTTCACGTAATTATCTACAACATATTGTTGTAAGAGACGACCTCCTCGAAGAAAAAGAGACAGATCACCAGGGCGAATCTGAATTTATAGTATTTCAATACTTATAAATAATTGAAAGTAAAGATTTTATACGAAATAATTATAGATTGAATAACTTTGACGAAGTAATTTTTTAATATTATTTATACATCGTTACCTGTAGCATATAAGAATAGAAATCACAACATGTTACTTTTCTGCCATTATTACTTCTGGTATTTGCATCAAATCCATATGAACCGTAGGGTAACAACAGAGGATAATGTAATGGATCATAGTATCCAACAATATCAGAAATATTTAGGAGGTGACCACTGGTTGATTGGACAATGATATCTCTTGGTTTTAAATTTCCAACTTCTTCGCCACCTACTAAAACTGCAGCAACTTCAGGAGCAGTAGGAAGTTTGTATTAGGGCCTATTATGTGGTTGCTCTTTGATTTGAAGTCTGCATTCATGTATGTCTGGACGCTGAGCCAATTGGCGAAATGTGTGTACAAATGGATTATGAGTATTTAAAATATTCTTTATCTTGTCAAGCAAATCCAAGTGCAATTCTTCATTTTCAAACATTCGATTCTCATTCTCGTGGTCAATGTCATAAACATACAGTTGCAAATATCTCGGTCTGTCGCTAGAATTTGGTAAGAGACGATATATGGCTCCTTGCGCACGAAACGTGTACACACCTCGAGTTCTTGTTGCTAAGTTTTCATCAACATGAACACCCATTGAAGTGAATGAGAAAACATGATTGTAGGCTCAAATATTTTGTCTGAAATGATGACCTTCCACTATTTGGTCAGAGAAAATATCAATCATCTCATTTGGAGCTGTTACTGGTGGCAAAATAATTGTTCCATTATTACAACACATGGTAGATGTTTCACAGTGGAACAATCTTGCGTTGCAATGTCTACATGTAGTTAGAGCAGGGAACTGCATTCTTTGGAACCTTTCACTTTCATGAAAATTTCTTGCACAATTATGATATCTCCTATGGATAAATGATCGATTATCTGGAATATCTTCATCACTCAAAGCATCCTGATTGTGGTCGACATGAGGGATATTTCCTATAACAATACATGTATGATGTATGGGTTTATTATTAACACAATAGTATTTATTTGAAAGTGTTTGAGTTTCATGTTCAATATTAAATGTAATTGTACTGCATATCATATTTGCATGATCATTTTTTTACATTTATTGTAAAGGTTGTTTATTTTGTAAAAGTACTTAAACTAAATAAATTATTTGTACCTTCCATTTGAACTTCGCGAAGATCTTGTCTATTGCCACTTGTGCTTCCATGCTCATATGTCGAATGAGTAGGTGCAAATCGGGGTAAGTCGATACGTGCGAGTGCAGTCATTCTACTTTCCCGTCTAAAAACATTAGTCGCAACCAAATTACCTTCTTCGTGAATGGTTGGCAAAACTGTTGCTCGCGGCCTACGCCATCCTGTTCTATTTCTTCTTGGGATTGCATTGAAAAAGTTTAACATGCATCCTAGCAGTTAAAATTATAAATAATAAATTAAATGAATATTAATGTCAAAAGTGTAAAAGCTTACCAAAAAAAATATTGTTTATAACATTTGAAAACTTACTACTTGTTTGTGCATTCGTCATATTATGTACTTGATTTGGATGAGAAGTTTGTTTGAGATTTTCAGATATTTGCCTTCTTTGTCAATAATTTGTTCGTCGCCTTGCAAGTTGTTGTTCGCGATGTTCAATAGTCAAAGAAGCCCTCCTTTGTCTAGCATAATTACGCCAACTTTCCCTTTGAATTTCTCTTTGTTGCACATTAGAGGTCGCACTTTCTTCGCGAATAAACAATCTTCGCCTGTGCTGAGCAAGACGACGTTGCTCCAATCTTGCTGAGGGTTGTTTAGTGCTTAAGTTTTGAAGGCGTAGCTATTCGAATTCTCTTTGTGGTTGTTCAGTTTGAGCATTTGGTTCCGAAGCTGAGCGTTGCCTCCTCTGTTGTAGGTATAAACGACGTCGTTCACGATTTTGTTGTTGTACATGTCTCAAATTTGATGTGTCAGGGTAATCGTGATTCATTCTTCCTAAGATTGTTAGCAAACTAACACTTACGTAGATGAAATCTGGCTATCTTTAAAATGTGCCTACATTATATAAAATTATGTAAGAGGCAGTTATAGTATATTCACAATGCGACTCGTATACTCACAATATAATAAGGTCTATATTTTTATGTGAGTGTTTTCATATGTTTGATTTTATATTTTTATAATGCATATTATTTTAAGTACTAATCTCATTTTGTGGAGAATTAAATAAAATTGCAAGTGAAAGAGATTACCTAGTAATGATGAGCCAAAGCACGTGCAACTTGAGATATGATTTAAAAACAAACTGAATATAAATTTTTCAAACATTCGATTAAATATAAAAAAAATTAAAAATAGAATTAAAAATACTTACAATCAAAAGAGAAGTAGAAGATAAGTATTAATAAAACACGACTGTAAAAGTTATTTGTTCTGACAATCACAAACTCATTACGTAATAAATATAAAAAAATCATATTAAATTTTGGGACCACTGAATTCTTTCTTATCAAAAAAATACACTTCAAAACAAACATATAAACAAAGGGTTTTTTAGAAAAGTTACAATAAAAAAGATTAGACACCTACAACTTTCTTTGAATTTTGGCCACCCATGGATTTTTCCAAATTTTATGAGATTTGGCCAAACTTTCATGAATTTTAACTAAAAAATTATACAACAAAAATTCATATAAATAAATATAAAAAAAATTACATATAAATAAAAATAAAAATAAAGACTGAATAAAAAAATTACATATTTGATTTTTTGAAGCATAGAAAAAGAAATTATATATTTGAAGCATTACAAACTCATGCAATAGAATTTTTTTAGAATTATTCAAGTTTCAAGCATTACAAACTCAACATTCGTATAGAATACTTACAGTCAAAGCAAATAGGTGTCGATAGAGAAAAATTCGAAAAATTTATTCTGAACAACACAAAGTTATAAAGCAACCTGCCAAAAATATAAACGAAGGAAAATAATAGTCTGTTTTTTTCTCCAAGAAATCTATTAACATAATTTTTTTCTTTTGCTTTTTAATGAAGAAAATAAAAGTGTAAGTAATAATGGTACACACAAAATAACAAAAAAGGAACCCATATTCTTAGAACACTTGCAGTAAAAAATAAATAATAAACCCCAAAAAAAAAAATTCAAGCATATATATAAAAATAAGAAAAATTACATATTTGATTTTTTCAAGCATAGAAAAAGAAGTTATATATTTGAAGCATTACAAACTGAAGCAATAGAACACTTACCGTCAAAGCAATTAGGTGTCGATAGAGAATAATCCGAAAAGTTTATTCTGAACAACACAAAGTTATAAAGCTACCTGCCAAAAATATAAATGAAGGAAAATAATAGTCAATTTTTCTCTCCAACAAATCGATTAACATACTTTTTTTTCTTTTACTTTTTAATGAAGAAAATAAAAAGTGTAAGTAATAATGGTACACACAAAATAACAAAACAGGAACCCATATTCTTGGAGCACTTGCAGTAAAAAATAAATAATAAACCCCCCCCAAAAAAAAAGACTTATTTGTTTTTAATTTTTTTGAAATAAAACAATTTTTATCAACATTGAATTGTTTTTAAGAAAAACACACACACAAAATTAAGCAATCAAACAACCTAATTTTTTGAAAACATAAATTGTAAACACACAAACACAAATGTTGATATCAAAATTGAGACCCCTCTCTGAAACCATATTTGACCCCTCTTGGTAACATGAGACCGGAGAATATGCTCCATATTGTCATAAATCTAAATTGATAACGACTTGCATAAAATCTCCGGTATCATGTTACCAAAATTCTTTCATCTTCACCTCTATCTCTATTTACTATAAAATCTTCCCTTTTATTTGTTCAATGATTTATTTCTTTTTTGTTAGGAGAAATACTATTCAAGAACATTGCAATCTTATGATTCTCTTTATCCGAAATATATATCTATTGCTTATCCTACAATGTAAGTGTAGTATTGTTAATTATATTTTTATTTTCTTCGATAAAAAGTTTCATTATGTAATTAGGTTCTGTGGAGAAAAAAATATATTGATTCAGAACACTATTATGTATTTTTTTTCTTCATTAAAAACTTTCATTGTGTGTGTTTTTGGAGAAAAAAAAAATCAGTGCTCATAATTTTGTGTGTGTCTATTTTTGAAAAAAAAAAATCGGTATTTTCTGTATTTTCATTAAATTAATTTTTAGGTTTTTAATTAAACAGTTTGACACCTATGTGCAATTTTTTAGAGACTTAAATAGTTTTGGATTTTTTTCCTCTTTCACTTTTTAAGCTATTGTTTCTTTTTGTGTATAAATTCAGCTTTTTTATAATTTGATTTGTTTGTTTGTTTACTTTTGTGAGAACACTATTATGTATTTTTTTTCTTCATTAAAAAGTTTCATTGTGTGTGTGTTTTGAAAAAAATAAAATAAAAAAATCATTGTTCTTAATTTTTTGTGTGTGTGTTTTTGAAAAAAAAGCAATGTTTTTTGTATTTTCATTAAATTAATTTTTAGGTTCTTAATTCATATTTATGCAAGCTTCTTTGAATAATTTGGCACCATGACGTACTGTAAAAGAGAACC